ACTTGCCATATACATATTCAGGAACATATTGATTCCTCGCACCCAACACTTCCTCTAGCCCATACTTCTTCCTCTTCCCTCTCCTGTTTTCACTGTTAATTCTAATAGAAAAATATTTTCAGGTAACTTTATACTCATAATATTCACTGTTCATTAAGTAGAAAGTTCAACAAATAGTATGAAGAAAATAAATTGTTCCTCAACATGAGACAAGGCTTGTAAAAAAGCATCATATCTCAAAATACTCATTTTACTCCTACATATTATTACGTGTTAAGTACTATATTAGTTACCACAGATCAGGGACAACATATGATATTTGTCTTTTTGCGACTGGCTTATTTCACTAAGTATAATGGTTGTTTTCAGTTGTATCCATTTTATTGCAAAAGATAGCATTCCATTTTTTCTTGCTGAATAGTATTCCATAATGTATATATACCACCGTTACTTTTTTTCCAGAATTATTTATTTGAGAGGCAGAGTTGAGAGAAGGAGAGACAGAGAATAAGAGGTCTTCGTTCTGGTTCACTCCCTAAATGGATGCAATGGCTATATCTGGGCTGATGTGAAGCCAGGAGCCAGGATCTTCTGGGTCTCCCACACTGTGCAGGGGCTGAAGGACCTGGGCCATCTTCCACTGTTTTCCTAGGCCTTCATCAGGAACAGCCAGGCTTTGAACTGGCTCCACTATGGGATGCTGGTGCAGCAGGTAGGAGATTATTCCACCTTGCCACAGTGCCGGTCTCCATAATTTCTTTATCTAGTTATCATTTGATAGACATCTAGGTGAATTCCATATCAAGGATGTTGTGAATTGGACTGCCATAAACATGTGGGCACAGATAACTCTTTCATCTGCTGATTTCAATTTTTTTAGGTAAATTCCCATGAGTGGCACTGCTGGTTCCTATGGTTCATCTATTTTCAGCTCTTTGAGGTGTCTCCATACTGTCTTCCACAATTACTTCACCAGATTACATTCCCAGTGGATTAGGGTACTGTTTTATAATAATATTATTATTAATATTATTAATATATTATAATTATATTAATAGTTGACAGGAAGAGTTACAGACAGAGAAAAGTGTTCCATCCAGGGGTTCACCCCCAAATGGCCACAATGGCTGGAGCTACACTGATCCAAAGCCAGGAGCCAGGTGCATCTTCCTGGTCTCCCATACAGGTGCAGGGTCCCAAGCATTTGGGCCATCCTTCACTGCTTTTCTGGGCCACAGCAGAGAGCTGGACTGGGAGAGGAGCAACGAGGGCTAGAACCTGGTGCCCATATGGGAAGCCAGCACCGCAGGAGGAGGATTCACCTAGTGCACCATGGCACTGGCCCCTAGGTACTGTTTTGCCACATCCTTTCCAGCATTTGTTGTTCATTGATTTCTGTATGCAAACCATTCTGTCTGTGGTGAGGTGAAACTTCATTGTGGTTTCGCTTTGCATTTCCCTAATGGCTAGTGATCCTGAGCATTTTTTCATGTGTCTGTTGTCCATTGAATTTCCTTTCTTGAAGAATGTCTGTTCAAGTCTGTTGCCCATTCTTAACTGCATTGTTTGTTTTGTTGTTGTTGAGTTTTTGAGCACTTTATACATCCTGGATATTAATACTTTATCAGTTACATAGTTTGCAAAGATTTGTCTCCCATTCTGTCGGTTGCAAAGTGAACTTTTCTGAGTTTTTGTTTACAGTGCAAATGCTTCTCAGCTTGATGTAATCCCATTTGTATGTTTTTGCTTTTATTGCCTGTGCTTCTGGGTTCTAAGAAGTCTGCACATGGCAATGTCTTGCATCATTTCCACAATGTTCTCTAAGATTTGAAGGTCTTAGGTTGTACATTTAGGTCCTTGACCCTTTTTGAGTTGATTTTTGTATTAGAATAAGGTAGGTTTCTATTTTCTTTTTGTGCACCATTTTTTGAAGAGATTGACCTTGTCACAGGGTTAGATTTTAGATCCTTTGTCAAAGATAAATTATTAGTAAAAGTGTGGATTGAGTTTTGGAGTTTCTGTTGTGTTCCGTTGGTCTACATGTGTAGTTTTTGCCAGTATCAGGCTGTTTTGATTGTAACTGTTCTGAAATATGTCTTGAATTCTGGTATTGTGATGCTTCTGGCTTTGCTTTTCACATACAAGATTCCATTAGCTATTCTGGGTCTCTTGTGTTTCCATTTGAATTTTAGCATCTTTTTTTCCCTAGATCTGAGAAGAATGTAACTGGCATTTTGATTGGGATCACATGAATCAGTAAATTGCTTTTGGTACTACTGACATTTTGATTATATTGATTATTTTAATCCTGAACATTAAAGATTTTTCCAATTTCTGTGTCTTCTGTTTCTTTCACTAATATTTTATAATTTTCATTATAGACATCTTTGGAATTCTTGATTAAATTTATTCCATGGTATTTAATTTTTTTTTGCATACTATTTTTTTTAAACTTTTATTTAATGCATATAATTTTCCAAAGTACGACTTATGGATTACAATGGCTTCCCCCCAATACCGTCCCTCCCACCCACAACCCTCCCCTTTCCCACTCCCTCTCCCCTTCCATTCACATCATGATTCATTTTCGATTATCTTAATATACAGAAGATCAGCTTAGTATACATTAAGTATGGATTTCAACAGTTTGCTCCCACACAGAAACATAAAGTGAAAATAATAGATGATTTTTTTAAATGATATGAAATCAGAGCAGACCTACTATTGTCATTGTTAATCCCAGTGAGAGTCAAGTTGGGAATTGATAATTTCTTTTTTTTTTTTTTTTTTTTTTTTTTTTTTTACAGAGGATCAGTTTAGTATGCATTAAGTAAGGATTTCAACAGTTTGCAACCCCCATAGAAACACAAAGTGAAATATATTGTTTGAGTACTCGTTATAGCATGAAGTCTCAATGTACAGCACATTAAGGATAGAGAGCCTACATGAGGAGTAAGTGCACAGTGACTCCCTGTTGTTGACTTTAACCAATGGACACTCCTGTCTATGGCATCAGTAATCTCCCTAGCTCCAGTCATGAGTTTCCAAGGGCTATGGAAGCCCTCTGAGTTCTCCGACTCTTATCTTGTTTAGACAAGGTCATAGTCAAAGTGGAGGTTCTCTCCTCCCTTCAGAGAAAGGTACCTCCTTCTTTGAAGACCTGTTCTTTCCACTGGGATCTCACTCGCAGAGATCTTTTGCCAGAGTGTCTTGGCTTTCCATGCCTGACATGGTATTTAATTTTTTTGTAACAATTGTGAATGGGATTGCTCTTAGAAGCATGGTATTTAATTTTTTTGTAACAATTGTGAATGGGATTGCTCTTAGAAGCTCTTTCCCAGCCATGGCTTTTTATATATAGACTTTTATTTCCCCTCTGTATAGAATCCTGTCATCTGCAAGTAGGGGTAATTTGACTTCCTCCTTACCAGTTTGTATCCTTTGGTTTCTTTTTCTTGCCTAATAGCTCTGACTGAAACTTCCAGGTCTATATTGAATAGCAAGGGCACAAGTTGGCATCCTTGTCTGATTCCAGCTCTTCATGGGAATGCTTCCAACATTTCCCCATTCATAAGATGCTGTCTATAGGTTTGTCATAAATTGCCTTGACTGTGGTGAGGAATGTTCTTACTATACTCAGTTTGCTTAAGGTTTTCATTATGAAAGGATGTTGTATTTTGTCAGATGCTTTCCCTGCATCTATTGAAATAAACCTATGGTTTATTTGAAAGTTTTATTATTTGAGCGGCAGAATTATAGACAGAATAGGAGACAGACTTTTAATTGGTTGGCATACAGTCCTTTGTATTAACTCTTGATAGATAAATCTTTTTATCATCTGTGGTAGCTATTGTTACCTTTCATTTTTGATCTCTGACTTTACTGATCGGGGTCTTCTTCTTCTTTTTTTTTTTTTTTTTTTAAGGATAGTTGGCCCAAGAGTGTATAAATATTTTAAGCAAGTTCTTCATTTCACTGATTTTTATATTCTTTTTTGCTTTCAATTTTGTTTATTCTCTAATTTTAATTATCTCTTTCCTCTTCCTAATTTTGTGTTTGGTTTCATTTGTTTTTCAAGGGCACTACGTTGGTGGCTCTTATTTGATGCCTTTCCAATTTCTTGGTCTAGGGATCAATTTCTCTAAACTTTCCATTTAATACTCTTTCACAGTTTCCCATAAGTTTTGATATGTTATACTGTCATCTTTATTCGTTTCCATAATTTTTTTATTTTTTGTATGACTCACGGTTCATTCAGGAGCATGTTCAGTCTCCATGTGGTTGTATATGTTCTTGAGGTTCTTGGTGTGGTCATTTGCCCCTTCATTCCATGTGGTCATGGAATATGCATGGTATGATTTCGATATTTGTTGAATTTGCTGAGACTTATGGCCTACCATATTGTATATCCTGGAGAGTGGCTCAAGGCATTAGTTCCTGTCAACCATGTGGGAGACATGGATCCAGATCCCACTTCTCAGCTTTAGTCCCATATGTGGGCATTTGGGGAGTGACTTAGTAGATGAGAACTATCTCTTGCTATCTCACTCATAATGAATTATTAAAAATTTTATCTCTCTTTTTACCTGGAAACTTGATTTAAAGTATTCAAACTTGATGTATTTCATATATACAAATTTAGAAACACTAATTATTCCCACCCTACCCTCCCTCCCTCCCTCACACTCACCCACCCAAACATGCTCCCATCCCTCTTCATTTTTTTTAAAGATTTATTTATTTGAAAGTCAGAGTTACAGAGAGAAGAGGCAGAGAGAGTGAGAGAGGTCTTCCATCTTATGGTTCACTCCCCAATTGGCCACAACATCAGAGCCGTGCCGATCCGAAGCCAGGAGCCAGGAGCTTCATTTGTGTCCCCCGCACGGGTGCAGGGGCACAAGGACATGGGACATCTTCCACTGCTTTCCCAGGCCATAGCAGAGAGCTGGATCACAAGAGGAAAAGCTGGGTCTCGAACTGGCGCCCATATGGGATGCCGGTGTTCCAGGCCAGGGCGTGATCCCACTGCGCCACAGCTCCCATCCCTCTTTAATCTCCATCCACTCTTCCCGTTCTTACTTTATGCAAAAATCTATTTTCAATTATTTTATACTCACAATATAAAGACTACACTAAGTAAAGAATTCAACAGTTTGAAAGAATTAAAAAAAAAAACAAACCCGTTCCTGAAGAGGCAAGACATGGTTTGTTTAAAATCATCATTATATCTGCAAGAGTTGTTTAAAATCATTGTATGTCAGAGTGTCAATATAACTTCTAAGGATCACGTTTTAGGTACTCTGTTACCACAGATCAGGGAGAATATACATATTTGTCTTTTTGGAAAGGCTTATTTCACAAAATGTAACGTTTTACAGTTGCATCCAGTCTTTTTTTTTTTTTTTTTTGTATAGGAAAAGCTTTCTTACCTGCAGCATACCGGAGATCAACACTGGCCCTCTATCCAAGCCTGGAGCCAAGACAGCTGTCACCCACTTTTTTGACACTGCCTGGCCACTTCCGGTGCCGCTGGGAGTAAGAGGCGGGTCCTAGATGGATGGCGCTTGTGCAGTCAGTCTGGTGGATATAGAGCCGACGGTGGCAGCGTGTTGTCGGCTGCTAGAGTTGTCGGCTGCTAGAGTTGTCGGCTTCCGGCGGCGTTTTCGGCAGCGGTACTGGCCTGGAGAGTGCGGGAGCGAAGGTGAGTTTTTCTTAAAAAACAGTGAGAGGCCTGGGACCTCGGGAGGTGGGAGGGTTGTGGCACCTCGGAGCAATGTAGACACTCAGGTCCACAGGCTGAGTGGCCGTGGGGGCGGGCGGCGGCTCGGCTGTGGGAAGCGGAGAAGCGGGTGGCTGGGCTCGCGCTGGAGGACAGGACTGCGGGTTACAAGGTATGTTTATTTGTAACCTGTAACTTAGTTATTTCATCAGTTCTAGCAGTATTTCTGGTGGGTGTTTTAGTTTTCATTGATTTTTATGAGTCTTTTTAGGATGTCTGTGTCTTCTGGAATTAATCTTAGTAGGTTATGTGTATTTGTTATCCAGGGATTTCTCCATTTCCTCCTAGTTTTCCAGTTTATTAATATACAGTACTGAATAGCAATTTCTTTGAAACCTTGAGTTTCAGTGATGTTGTTTATAATGTCTGTTTTTTGTCTGTAATTTTATTGACTGGCATTTTTATCTTTTTTGTTAGTCTGGTTAGAAAATTATCTACTTTTTTAACATTTTATATCAGGTATGTAAATATCATGTATTTCTTATATATAGATTCAAAACATACTGATACTTCTTCCCATGCTAGCATCTCTCAAGCCTACACACCAGCCTTTTTCTTCCTCCTTCTCTTGTTCCCACCCTTAATTCTTCGAATTATCCGTTTTCATTTAACTATATATTCATATGATTAAGTAACAGTGTTCAACGTGGAGTATGAAGAACAAAACACTGTTCTTGAAAGTGAGACTAGAACTATAAGAAACAATTTTATCTCAGAATTTCATTTTCTCTCCCACACATTACATTTAGGTACTTTATTAGTTACCACAAATCAGGGAAAAAATACGTTATTTGTCCTTTTGGGACTGGCTTATTTCACTGAATATACTGGGTTAAAGTTACATCCATTTTGTTGCTAAAGACAACATTTCCGTGTTCCCCAATGGGTGGTATTCCATAGTGTATATATGCCATAATTTCCTTATCCAGTCATCAGTTCATGGACATCAGGTTTAATTCCACAACCCAGCTATTGTGCACTGAGCTGCAGTGAACATGAAGGTACAGATAACTCTTTCAAATCTACTGATATAATTTCCTAGGGGTAAATCACCAGGACAGGGATTGCTGATAAATTTCATAGTAAACGGTAGATTTATTTTCAGCTTTCTGAGGTATCTCCATACTGTCTTCTGCAATGGCTTTACCAGTCTACATTCCCACCAAAAGTGAGTGGATCAGAGTACTGTATTCCCCACTTCCTCAGCAGCATTTATCGTTGTTGATTTCTGTATGAGAGCCATTCTGACTGTGGTGCGGTGAAACCTCATTGCCATTTTGATTTGCATTTCCTTGATGGCTAGTGATCCTGAGCATTTTTCATGTGTCTGTTGGCCATATGGATTTCCTTTCTTGAAACATGCCTGTTCAAGTTCTACGCCCATTTCTTAACTATATATTTTTTATTGTTGAGCTCTTTGTCGATTGTAGATACTAATCTTTTATCAGTTTCTTGTTTGCAGACAGTTATCTCCCATTCATTCTGTTGTCTCCTCACTTTGCTGAGTGTTTCTTTTGCAGCGTAGAAGCTTCTCAGTTTGATGGAATCACGTTTCTCTGTTTCTGTTTCTGCTGCTTTTGCTTGTGCTTCTGCTGTCTTTTCCCAGAAATCTTTGCCTATGCCAGTGTCTTTCATGTTTCCCCAGTGTTCTCTAGTAATTTGATGAGATTGGGTTTTAGATTTTGTTCCTTGAACTATTTTCAGTTGGTTTTTCTATAAGGTGTAAGGCATGGGTCTTCTTTCATAGTTCTGCATATGGAGGTCCAGTTTACTCAGGAACATTTTTGAAGAAACTGTCCTTTGCACCTGAGATTAATCTTTAGCGCCTTCTTCCAAGATAAATTGATTGTAGATGCGTGGATTGATTTCTGGAGTTCCTTTTTTGTTCCATTGTTCTATATGTCAATATTTTTACTAAACCAGTTGTTTTGATTGTAACTGCCCTGTTCTGTGTTTTGCAGTCTGTTTTTGCGATGCTTCGAGTTTTGTTTATGTTGTATAAGATTGCTTTCACTATTCAGATGTTCTGTGTTTTCATAAGAATTTTAGCATTGTTTTCTCTCCATCTGGGCAAAATGTTATTTGACCTTTGATTGTGATCCCATTGTGTCTGTAAATTGCTTATAGTAGAATGGAAATTTTCATTATGTCGATTGTGCCAATGAATGACCATGGAAGATATTTCTGTTTTGAGTGTCTTCTTCCATTTCTTTAATATTTATTAATTTTCATTGTAGACATTTTCATGGATATGAAACTGGATGCAGTTGAAGTTCATCTGCTGGGTAATCTTCCATTTCTGGGGACTGCTCGACTTCCTGCTAAACACAGCTGGGACTTCTTCCTGGAGAGGAGCAACTGGTGAGCAGATGTGACCACCTCATGTACGTGGCAGCCTTGGAGCCCAAGGGAAAGAGTAGGGAAGGGATACCAGGTTCCCTGCGGCTGGGTGGGCCATGTGGACAGTGAAGTTGACTTTCATCACGTGACAGGGAGGGTCAAATGGAGTAGCCCCAGAGGTTGGGGTAAAAGAAATGTGGGGGCCAACGGGGTAGAGGAGAGTTAGGTATAATGAGGATGAGGGCACTTGGATGTTGGGGAATGTGTTCCCCCAAGTTTTGCAGTGAATCAGGTGTCAAAGAATGTGGTAAGAGGGGGAATATTGGGGCATCCAGGCAATGAGAGGGAGACCTGGGAGGAGAAGTGTGTGCTGTTGCCTCAGAGTACAAAACACCAAAAGTCTGTTTTTGAGGGATATGGAAATAAAAGTTTGGGTTTTAGAATTCATGGTTAAGGATGACAAGATTGCAAGGAATCTCTGCTGGGGGGGCTGATAAGGGTAAATGCCACAGAAGAACTTGGGACATGCAAGGCACTTGGGAGTTGGGAGCTGAAATGAGGTAATTTCTTTTTGTCATCATCTTTTGATAGATAGGGAAAATGGAAGGATTATATAGAGGAAGTCAGGTGACTTTCAACAGAATTGTAACATGAAGCAGGTGTTAGGTCAACTTATAAGAACTAGTGGAGTATCAGAGTGTTAGACCTGGGAGAGGGTCTGGGGAGCAACCTTAGGAAAAGTGAGGGAAGGGAAATGGGTGGACTGGTAGAGGGAACTTTCAGAAGGGATGGGGAATGGATGCTGAGTTAATCAGGAAATTCAGATAACATCTGCAGAATACCAAGAGATGGAAAAGATGTTATCTGAAAGAAAACTGGGTTGTTAAGGGACTAGGGAACATGAAGACCTTGTCTTAGGCTGGGAATGAAGTTTGTGGCTTGTAGTCCACTTGTAGACGTCAGAATTCGGGCAGAGGACTCTCTCTTGATAAACGTGTGCTTTTTGGCTTTTGAATGTGTCTGTTATTCGCTCACATTCGTTCTTGTTATTTATCTAATACTGAATGCTTCTTGAACATCCTTGAGAAAGTTTGTGGAAAGAGGATGTTTGTCGTGATGGGTGTTTTTCATATCTTTCTAGGCAGCTCTGCGTGAAAGCTCCTGCTTTCATGATGTTTTTGTTCTTATTATTTTGGGGTGCTAGGGATGGCTTGAGTCCTAAAGGATTTAAACAGAAAGAATATGGTATGAGCTCTTGGAATAGCTTCCCAATTTGTTGGAATTCAAACTTAGTGATACTTCCTATTCTACAACTGCTTTTTTTTTTTTGCCAGCTCAGATATTGCCAGTTGCTTTTAGAGTCCCTAAACTGTGTCTCTGTGTCAGACTGTGACATTTATTAGGAAGGCACATTCTTCCTTAAGTGTTACTTAAATGATGTGTCATTCTTTACAATGCAGTGTTATTTGGTACTTTTGAGTAATATATGTTCAGAATTATATAGCTTACTCTTTTTTTAAATATTTATTTTATTTATTTGAAAGAATTACAGAGAGAGGTAGAGACAGAGAGAGGTCTTGCATCTGCTAGTTCACTCCACAGATGGCTGCAACGGCCGGAGCTGGGCCAATCTGAAGCCAGGAGCCAGGAGCTTCTTCCAGATCTCCCACATGCATGCAGGGGCCAAAGGAGTTGGGCCATCTTCTACTGCTTTCCCAGGCCATAGCAGAGAGCTGGATTGGAAGAGGAGCAGCTGGGACTAGAAGCAGTGCACATATGGAATGCCAGTGCTTTAGGCCATGACTTTAACCTGCTGCGCCGGCCTCTGTAGCTTACTCTTACTTTTAGAGTATTTCTACAGAAACATTTTCATACTTATATTTTCATAAAAGTCCTAGAATTTTCCACATACACAATGTTACTAATGTGCACAGTGTGTCTCGTTTTCCTCTGTAGTGTGAGTACTTTTTTTTCTATAAGTTTCCATTAAACATTGATATTGTGTCCAATGGATGCGTGTATATGTTTAGGGTCAAAAAATTCTTCAATATAATTTATAGACTGATTTAAAAATAAACCACATTCCCTTTTCTCTGCTCTCCTTCTAACACTGACTCTCCCAGAGTCCCCTTCCATCCTTCCCTCCTTCTTTCTTTCCTCATTTCCTTCCTTTTCCTTCCTTCCAGTTTCAGATAATATATTTTATATTTATATTACAGTAATAAGGCTAATAAGAAGTTTAAGAAGTAAGAACAGGTGTGCCGGTGCTGTGGTATCCCACAGGGGAGTCAGTTCAAGTCCTGTCTACTCCATCTCTCATCCAGCTCCATGCCAATGTGTGTCCTGTGGCCAGTGAGGAGTGCGCCTGTGCCTGGCGCTTTGACCCAGAAGTGCACCCGCAGGCGCCGCCACTTCTGCCCTCGATGCACTGGTGGGAGTCAGCGCCGTGTCCGCTCCTGCCCAGAGCCTTGAGGAGCCGCCTTCAACGCTGGTGGCTGAACCTGAGGAGACCCAGGGCCCTGCAGACTCAGGCTGGGATCAGGTGAGGCTACAGCCGGAGGCGGCCGCATCAGTTTCCTTGGGCTTCTGGAAACTTCCAGGCGTGGTCCTCTGCTTCGACCCCTACCTGAAGACTACACTTTGGGACTCAGTTCCTGTTCCTGAGGAACAGAAACGCTCTTTGTGTGGGGAGTTTGGCGCGGTGGCCTTCCTGTGATGGGGTAGTCATGGCCTGGGGTGCAGAGCGGGGGGAGGGGTGTGTGTAGGGTGTAGCTGGGATAGAAGGTGGAGGAGAGGAGAGGGTCAAAGGGGAGGCAGGAAGAGAGAGGAAGTGGGGAGAATGAAAGTGGAGAGGCGAGGGAGGGAGGGGGAGAAACACATGTGGGGGAGAGGAAAGGAAGGGGAGAGTGACAGGAGTCCCAGGGCTTGTGTGTGGGAGGGGGATTGCGAGAAGAAGAACTTTCCCCAGAGCTCTGGGTCCATTTGGGGGGTTTTCTGTGCCTGGCCAGAAGTAGCCTTGGCTAGCTGCATCTGTCGAAGAGGCTTTGACTGACAGCCTCTCTGCTCCGGGTTGTTCAGCAGCGTAAGGTGTGTGTGCAGGAACACGGGGACACGGGGCACTCGAATTAATTGGCACGTAATCCGGTGAATTTTCACAGACTGCACACACAGAGGAGAAAGCAGAAGCTTAGAGAAATGCCAAGAATCCCTCAGTGCCCTGTTCCAGCCTGCCCCAAGATTCTGACACCTCACAGTAAGTACTAGATATTTTATTCTATTTAAAGAATGGTTTGCAAAGCAGAGTTCTAGATGAGGCGGGGCAGGAGAGATCTTCAGGGTATGGGTTCACGCTGCAGGTGGCTACAATGGCTGGTGGTGGGCCATGCCGAAGCTAAAGCCATGTACTTTATCTAGTACTCCAGTGTGGGTTCAGGAACCGACGTCCTCGGGCAACTTGAGTTTGTGTAACACACTACCTGTATATGTAAAGTGCTTACCCGTTTTATCACCATTTATTTGCTAAATACCAATATCATGTATAAGACTGTGAGTTTGTCCAGGGCAGGACTTTGTCTCTCTGCTTTCATTCCTGTAGTCCCTGGTACACAGTTGGAATTCAGCTTATGCAGAACTAACAATGCACTCACTGTTGGATCTTGGGACAGGAACTGTTGGTTATAGAAAGGTCTGTTTACAGCAATAACGGTAGGAGGGACAAGAAGGGATGTTTAAGAGAATCAGCATTAATGAAGCACTTTCAGTGGTCAGGCTTCTTAATGTACCATTGTCTCATTTCTAAATAACAACACAAAGAGGGGAAGCAAGAGTTTTATTTAATTATACCACATTGTCCTGTCTAATCCTCTTCAAAACTCTGTGAGAAAGGCACCACTGATACCCTTTTAAATATGAGTTATAGGAAGTGGGAACCAGCCCTAGGCCATATATTGAGATCAGTGAAGTTCCAGTTTAAATCCTGCTGTGCTTGCCCCTCCTGGGCTGCAGGGTGTGGGCTAATGTGAGAGGTGAGTGTGTGAGGAGTGCAGGGAGGGTCCTGGAGGTGTGGTGCGACTTGCCTGCTGGGAGTGTCTCTGCAGGGCCAAAAGCCTTGACCTTTCAGGGTTGCCTGGATTTCAGCTTGGGCTGTCTGGAGTTGAGATTCTGAGGGCAGGAGTGTGGTGGGTCTTGCCAGTTCCCGCCTTCCTTCTCTGAGCAAAAAAGTAGCTAAGATGAGGCTGAGGGCCCTGTGAGTCCCTGCCCCACAGGCAGGTGCAGTGGGGGCCTGGGCTGTGCTTGCTAGCACAGGTGCCTCTGCCACACTTGATCTTGTGGCAGTTGCAGTGATTAGTAAAGTGGGTTCTTTGCAGACGCCAGGGAAGTGGCATTTCTCAGCTTCCCAGTTCCACGTGTGGTATGATGGCATGCCCCTGAGGGATCAGTGGGAACCATGCACAGGCATCTAAGATAGGAGAACATAGTGATTGCTAACTAGCCTCAGGCTGGCGGCTGTGCTGGGTTAGTGAGGAGTCCCCGGCCAACCCCCACAGCACCTTCAGGCAGAAGTGCTCTTTGTTCATCGCTGTGTTACTTTATTGCTTTCTGTCCCTGAGTTACAGCTACCCAGAATGGCTTAGAATTTTCTCAAGCATGTAATTAGAAGAGTGGCTGTGAATCTAGGAAACAGTTTGGTCTTATTAAGGTAATCATTAAAAGTCCCTGAAAAGCATTTGTACGTCAATTTTTCACTAATTTTTGCTCACTGTTTCCTTTGGTTTGTTACTCTTCTTTGTGAATCGCCTCCCCCCACCTCCCCATGACATGGTCATCTTGGAATTCACTTTGGAAATGAAGAGCAGGTCTACCTCTCTGGGTTCCACCTTGGTGAATGTCACAGGCAATCCCTTCTTTACCAGTTGGGCGGTTCCATGCATGGTACTTCATGAGCGCATGAACATTTTGTCTTGCTGAAGGAGGCTTGTTGGCGTTTATCCAGTGAATACTGTGTATCAGTGTTTGTGAACCCTGCTTCCTCTGAGACCTTGGAACTGATTGGGGTGGTTGTGTGTGCCTGATTAATGACGTTTCCCTCTTTCTTAACAAGGAGTGATACAGTTAGAAGCATACAGGCTTGGCTCTGTTCACACCAAGCATTTTTAAACAAACTAGCCTTTCTAAAAAGTCCAGCATGAAGACCCTCCCAGTGAGGGTTGTGTACGTGAGATGAGGTTCTCTTGGCTCTGGTGTTTTGAGATGTTTGGACCTCATGTCATCTGAGGACATTGGCATCCAGCCATCTGGCATCCAACCATCTCAACAACTAATGAAATTGATCATTTTAGCAAACTTTTCTTATTTATTCATTTGTTATCTTTAGAACTCAAAAGTTTGGAGCTTTGCTTTAGTTTAAAATGATACTTACCTTATTTCTAAGTCTGACAAAAATGCATACAGACTCTCTCATTGAAATCAGATGCAGTTTAAGGGTCTGTTTTATAAGCTGTTTGATAGAACAGGTCTGTTTGTGTCTTCAATGAATGAAGAAAGGTGAAAATATTAAAAGATATGACCATCCTTTTTTTAAAAGTTTTCTTATTTCTTTGAATGGCAGAGTTAATAGAGAGAGGAGGAGAGACACACAGAGATCATCCAACTGCTGGTTCACTCCCCAAATGACCCCAATCACCGAGATTGGGCCATGATAAAGCCAGGAGCTTCCTCTGGGTCTCCCATGTGGATGCTGGGGCCCAAGCACTGGCGCCATCCTCTGCTGCTTTCCCAGGTGCATTAGCAGAGATCTGGATTTGAAAGTGAATTAGCCAGTGGGTCTCAAACCAGCACCCAAATGGGATGCCACAGGCAGAGGCTTAACCTGTTGGGACACAATACCAGCCCCATGACAGATTTTTATGTATGTCCATCAAAACCTATTTGAAACATGACAGCATGTTAACTGTCAGTTTTCAAAAAACCACATGCACAGAGGAACAAATGCACACACAGCACTGTAGCCAGGAAGCCACAGAGTGACACAGTCTCAAAGTCCCATGTGCACGCATGCAAGGTTGGCTGTGCTTGTTGGGTTTTCCAGCTTCCTGCGGAGGAGCAGTAATCCCCATAACTTAAGCCCAACCTCTTATTTCTTGGGGCTGGGGCAAGGGGAGTCATGAGAACTAGATCAGAATGAATGCTAACTCACATTACTCATTAGCAGTTCTCTTTGGTGTTTACCTTGGTTCCTTTTTACCATTTTAAGGTGAACATTCACTAGCAGCACATGTGCAGAGTTGTGCAGCCAGCACTGGCATCTGATTCCAGAACTTTCTTCTCACTCCTCACCCCCCCCAAGATACATCGTCAGCTGTCATAGACAACTTGACAAAAGTAAGCTGAATTCAGGAACAAGAGCTTCTTTGGATATGACTACACTAAGTATCATGAGAGATTTGCCAGGAGTGATGGATTCACTGGTTTACAATATGCCTCATGGGAACCCAGGGAATAGAATTACCTCTTAAAAACCTAGAATTATCCCAGCATGTAGGAGTAATACCTCCAAAAGGCTGTTTGTTATATGGAACTCCAGGCACAGGAAGAATGCTTTTGGTGAGAACTGTTGCTAGTCAGCTGGATTGTAACTTCTTAAAGGTTGTATCAAGTTCTATTGTAGACAAATAGATTGGTGAAAGTGCCTGTTTGATCAGAGAAATGTTTTATTATGCCAGAGACCGGCCATCAAACATGCATCATTTTTATGGATGAAATAGATGTGATTGATGGTCATCGGTTTCCTGAGGGTACATCAGCTGACAGATTAAGAGAACTTTAATAGAGTTGCTAAATCAAATGGATGGCTTTGATACTCTGCATAGAGTTAAAATGACCATGGCTACAAACAGACCAGATACACTGGACCCTGTTTTGCTACGTCTGGGAAGATTGGACAGAAAAATACATATTGATTTACCACATGAACAAGCCAGGTTAGATATATTGAAAATCCACACATCTCCCATTAAAAAACATTATGAAATAGATTATGAAGCAAGCATGAACCTTTTAGATGGCTTTATTGGAGCAAACCTGAAGTGTTTGTACTGAAGCTGGTATGTTTGCAATTCGTGCTGATCATAATTTTGTAGTACAGGAAGATTTCATGAAAGCCATCAGAAAAGTGGGTTATTCTGGTTGGCACCATGGTTCATTAGGCTAATCCTCCGCCTGCGGCACCGGCACCCCGGGTTCTAGTCCCAGTTGGGGCACCGGATTCTGGCCTGGTTGCTCCTTTTCCAGTCTAGCTCTCTGCTGTGGCCCAGGAGTGCAGTGGAAGATGGCCCAAGTGCTTGGGCCCTGCGCCCACATGGGAGACCAGGAGAAGCACCTGGCTCCTGCCTTTGGATCAACGTGGTGTTTGAGGCCGCAGCGGTCATTGGGGGGTGAACCAAAGGAAAAAGGAAGACCTTTTTCTCTGTCTCTCTCTCACTGTCCACTCTGCCTGTCAAAAAAAAGGTGGGTTATTCTAAGAAGCTAGAGTCTAAATTGGACTACAAACCCGTATAATTTACTGTCAGTTTTTTGATTGCTGCATGACAGACATTGGCTTAATGTAAAAATAAAGTTAAGCAAACAATGTGTGTACTGGCAATGATCTCATTAAAAATAAGAGTAAAATATGTATGAGTAACATAAATTAGTATATACTTCAGTGACTCCACTTTTAAGATGGGTACAGAAGAAATCTGTATGTTGTTCATGTATTTATTGCAGCAGAAATTAAAAAAGAAGAATGTGTTGAAGCTTTTCATATTTGCTATGTGAACATTTTGTAAAACATTGAAAATGGTCTGGGAGTAGTACAAGAGAGTATTTCTTATGATTTATATCATTTGAGTATTGATTTAGATAGGCTATGGGAGGAAGTGAAACATCAGACCTTTGATATTTAAGATCCTCCATAATATGTTGCATTAATAGTCTTTTTTTGACAGGCAGAGTTAGACAGTGAAAGAAAGAGACAGAGAGAAAGGTCTTCCTTTACATTGGTTCACCCCGCAAATGGCTGCTATGGCTGGCGCACTGCGCTGATGTGAAACCAGCAGCCAAGTACTTCCTCCTGGTCTCCCATGCGGGTGCAGGGCCCAAGCACTTGGGCCATCCTACACTGCACTCCTGGGCCACAGCAGAGAGCTGTTCTGGAAGAGGAGCAACTGGAACAGAGTCCGCTGCCCCAACTAGGACTAGATTGCCGGTGCCGCA